CAGTTTCGAAAGTGTTCCATAATTATGTAATTTTACCTTGAAGATTTTAAGAAAAGTCGACGTCAATAATGTGAAATTGTGTCGACCAGTGCTACCAGATTGGTAAAATCCAAGCTGATTCAGAACTCAGTTATTATACTTTTAATGAAGTTATCATGACAAATGCATTAGAAAAGTTTAGGAAACTACAAACTCAATGTTAACTTAGATGGTGCAGCTCTTCATAGCGTACTAGCATCGTCGGCTATTTCATATTTCCTCAGGGTTTCAGTCTCTCTACCTTGCAAGTGACTTAAGTATACTTATTCTAAGACCTCAAATCATTGACTTTCAGTGGTTCGGACGTTTTGGCATTATAAAGACCCAACTATGCTTTAAAATTTCACCAATTGCAATATACTCTCATCTAAATAGTTCTCAATGTAATTCTTCTAAAGATCATTGCGCTAACCAGAATTTCTGAAAATCGGACCAGCTATTTAATTGACTGGCTGGAAATTGTTTATCATTCAAGTAGACAAACTTTTATTTCATTGCCTTGTAAAGCGTAAATTCTATTTTGGGGTAAAGCAACTTTAAAAAGATCACTCAAGCAAGAATTCGAAATTCTCAGCCGAGTACCACGGATAAAAATGTTTGCAGAACTATTAGTACTTTAATTCTTGGTCTTACTCTCTTTATTTCTTAGTAGTCAAGACTCATAGGTGTATATTTGTCAGTAAACTGATTCCACATTGATTAGTGCAATAGAACAGTAAACTAAACTACATGTCCTGCAAGGATTACAAATGATGACTGAATCCATCTATTTCTAGCGGACTCAAACGAACCATCATAATTTTTAAGAGAATACAAAAGCACTAATTCTCGCTGCCTCAAACAGTAGTAAAGTTAAACAGTGCGTTATTTCATATTGGATAGTCTGTTACATACATACACTCATTTGAGGCGTAAAACGTAGTCACAGTTGTAACAAAACTTTTAGCCCACTTTACTGCAAAATGTAATACCATAAACTGATAAAAGCTACAAATATATTACGCTTTTCCTATTCATTTATGTTTTTAGCATGTTTTCGATCTGACTCTTGTTTCTATTACAGCACCAAAGTTTTCATGGTAAAGGATGTAAATAGTTGCATTCAAATAAACGTTTGCCACTATATCAAAAGATTATATATATATATATATATATATATATATATAAATGATAGCGCGTTTCTTCCGTTTTTTTCCCACAGAAAACCCACGAAAATTGTTACAGAAGATCCATCCACTGAAGTAAGCTATATTTCCGGGGATTTCTCTTAAAAAAATGTAATTGTCTTTTACTGCAGAGTAATTGTTAAACGTTGGAAATGATTTTAAATCGACACATTTTTAGGGAAAATTGTCTCACTGAATTATGACAACCTATACAGACTTTCTCTGCAAAATATTCCCTTTCATAGGACTCATGCTTCTGTGAATCTTATTTGGGTTCAGAATTTCTGAATTTGTAAGCTGCACTTTGATCATCCATCTCTTAGTAGGATATGGAGATATGTAAAAAAATTATCTCAGGATCACAATGGAACGTTATTAATCTGTGCTTTTATAAATAGTGTTATATGATTCCATGTACAATCAGTTTCAGCACAATTTATAATACCATCTGATTATACAGATATTGATTCTAGTGAAACTACGTTACTTCATGTGTATTAGATTTCTCAGGTACTCAACAAACATCCAAAATATTTACATTTTCTTAGGATTTAATTGAACAACTGAGCACAAGTTAACAGTTTTACTTGTTTATATTTTCGTTCTTAAGAATGCTGTTACAACCAGTAAGTGGGAGAATTCTCCTCAAATCCTAGAGAAAAATACAAATCAACATCTAGGTCCATGGACTAACAAACATTGGGAAACAGGCGATAAGGTTGAAATTGATGAGTCTGTAAACAAAGAAGAGAAAAAAGTAGTCACTGCAAAAACCCAAGGTCCAAATAGTATTTCAATTCTACAGAGACTTCGTGTAATACAAGAGGATTCTTCTAAGAACGAAGTACATTTAAATAAAGATGAAAATTCTCCCGCTGCTGTCATTGATAATAAGGAAAAACTAGAAAACTCAGTTGCTGCTTCTAATGAAACTACGTCTATCCCAACCGTGCCAACTATGATCAAACCCCAAGTTCCTCCAATATCTAAAAATCAAGTATGTTTATGTTGCGTTCACTTATTCTGTATTAGTAATCGATTGGCTGTTCAAATCCTATAAAAAGTTCAAGTGAAATGATTGACTTAGTTTCCTGTTAGATAACCGTATTTTCTAAATTGCATGTACAAAGATAGACATTATATTAGTGTTGCAACGTTAAAAAGAAATAAGTAATATTCTGCATATACTTAAAGCAGCACGTTAATTTCCATCCATTGTAAACCATATACAAAAGCAGAACTTCATGTTCGGCTTTGAACCATATTTTTATTTGTAAGAGATTGTAGCATTATTCACCCGCTCAGACCAAAGTAGATGGCACGGAGTTCGAGCCTGGGAATCAACGGTTTAAACTGGTATTTCGCATATTAAAGTACCGCACTGTAACAAACAGATGCCATATTTTTTGCAGCTACTGGGTTTTAATTTGTAAGATTGGGGAGAACTATCCATTTTTGGTTTGAAGTCTCACATAGTTCAAAATTGATAATATAGCTTTGATATTTATTTATTTGGAAACTTGATACAGATATCAGATAAGTAAGTTATCAAAATGCTCATCAACTTTGACCCATTACAGATAGACTGCACAGTGATCCACAATAATGGTTGATGGCAATTATAAACTTTATTTTCGATAGGATAGTTATACTTTTCATGTAACTAAAATCTTTAATTCATTCTCCGAAAAATATACTGTGCGTATGAACTTTCTGTCTTTTACTAAGAACTATTTATCGTTCATTAAAATTTCCAATAATCCAAGACTCAATATTGTTTATTTAGGGATTCTCAAAGTGATGCAAAGTTTTATATCGATAGAAAGATTTCTAGTAAATTGCTCTTGTGGTCTGGTGTGTGACGAAATCTCAGCACGGATACAGAAGGCTCGACTAGCTTTTGCCAACTTGCGTCATTTATGGCGTAGGCGAAATATCTGTCTATCAACAAAAGGACGTGTTTACTGCGCAGCAGTTCGTTCCGTCCTACTTTATGGCAGTGAAACATGGCCGGTAAGAGTAGAGGATATTCGTAGGTTACTAGTATTTGATCATAGGTGTCTTCGAAACATTGCTCGTATATCATGGGACCATCGAGTAAGTAACACAGTTGTTAGGAAACGGGTACTAGGTAAGGATGGCAAATCAATTGATGAAGTAGTGAAACTTCATCAGTTGAGATGGCTGGGACACGTGTTACGTATGCCCAACGACCGACTGCCTCGACGTGCGATGTTCAGTGGTATAGGAGTAGGTTGGAAGAAAGCTAGGGGTGGCCAAACCAAAACATGGCACAAGTCCATGAAGTCACTGACAAGTGAACTGAGTCATGTCGGTAGGTGTAGACTACCTGGTTGGGGACCGCGAGATGATAGCAACCGATGGTTAGAGACCCTGAATGACATGGCTCGAAATCGTTTGCAATGGCGCAGGTGCATCCACTCTTTGTGTTCTCCCAAATTTTGATCTCCTTATTCCTCCTTGTCCCTTTTTTCCTCTTCCCAAATTTATTTCACTGTATTATACTCTTTAAGTAACATCTCCAAACCCTAATTTTCCTGATTACTGCTTATACTCTTATTACCTCTACTACTACGGGATTTGAATCGACCACTGCATCTCTATGCTAATGTGGTGTGGCAACTCGAACTTATGTACGTACGTACGAAGTTCTACGTTGTTACTGACTGACTGACTGAGTAAATTGCACCATACGACTTTTTCCTAGGGCAATAAAGTTGAAAATCGACCGAGTTTGTCAAATTTCCCAATATGGCAATTTTCATAAAAATGTGTAGACAAGCGTGCTTTGTTGTAAAGCACACGCTTCCTTGTCTTATAGGATGCGTTACGTTCTTCAAGGAATTCTGTGAGATATGATAATGAAACATAATTTCTATTTATTTATTAATGTCATATGTAGGTTGTTTTCAGGCTAATGGATAAAGGGTTCGCAATATTATTAACCGAAAAATTACTACAGTGCAATTTTTATCTTGAATTACACTTCAGATTGACTCGGTGTCATACAATGTCGATTATATTAAGAAAATAAATTACTGTTGGTCATATAGTGAGGTTCAGTTTCGTACAATGTTGCCACATAATAGTTCAACTTTTGTATATAAATAAGATTCATATTACTTTTGTGATTTCAGTCGACATATTGCATTAACTCTTTCCTGTATATTAGCCTAGTAAATGATAATTAATTTCCTAACTTTAACCCAAATGTGAATCATAAAACAAGTTTTTTCTTATTTTCAGGTCAAAAAACCAGCTGCAATCAGAGGAAGGTCTCATTCATCCAGTTCTAGTTCTGCTTCTTCATCTTCCTCATCTGGATCCTCTTCAAGAAGTTCCAGCAGACCTAAGCGTTCTCGTAAAAGATGTCGGTCCATAAGCTCATCAGCACGCAAAATGCAAAGGAGTGACTTTTCGGACTCCAGAAGCAGGGGTAGGGGTAGTCGTGGACGCTACTCTCCAGTTAGTCGTTCATATTATACAAGATCACGTTCTCGTTCATTTTCAACAAGAGCTTCGACAAATTGGGGCACACGTACCAGCTATCCAAGTCGTAATCGTTCTTGGTCTAGGTCTCGTTCCAGATCGTTTTCCAGAGACTCTCGATCTCATAGCTCGAGTGCTCGTCGTCATAAACGTCGTCACAGGAGAACACGTCGTGGGAGGAACTCTAGTCGTAGTTGGTCATCGTCAAGAAGTTCTAGTAGATCTATAAGACGGCGCTAACTGTAATATTCTCATATGAAAACGCCTTGTTCAGTCCTTTGTTTTAAATGTATTTATTCATGATATAAATATGTGTTTTTAGTTCATTGTTACAACCCGTTTCGTATTAAGAAAACACCACTTTAGTTGAATAATTCTAAGTAAAAAGTCGATTCTATCATCAGATGAGCTTAAATTATAAATATAAAATATTGGAATGATAATAATGATAAGTTGGTTCACAACTCATAAAGTTAACTGTTGAATAAATAAGCCAGAAGCTAGTCATCAGATTAAACAATTTCTGCGTTTAGATTGTGAAATTATTCTGCTTCAGTTTTTAGACGAGGTGGTAACGGAGGTGGTATTTGTCTTGAGGGCGTTTGTGGGACGACACGTGTCGGAGAGATGGGTTCAAACTGAAAAGTGCAAACAGTTTACGTTAACAAAAACTGAGCGAGAGAGTAACAGAATTAAATTTAAACAGACAAAAGAACAATATTCCTAACTTAGTGAAATCCAACACTGAGAATCGAAGTATACAGTCCAGATATAATGGTTAAGTACTCAAATTCGGCAACTAGATTTCAACTTCGATAGATCTGGGGAGCTGAATATTATCACTAGCCCTCATATTAGCTTAAAGTGTCACGATGTCCGAAATGGACATCAAGGATATGACGTTAGATTTAACGATGGTCAGAAGTTTCCAGGAAATGGTACAACATTGTGTTTAGTTTTCTGTTATTTTCGTGCTGTTGAGTTTCTATAAACTCCAGGTAAATCATCCTCATTTGCATTTCAACAAACATTGATCATTTCACAGTCGTTAATAATTTTCTTTCATCACGTATTGTTTTATAAGATTACGGTGAAATAGGGCATATATATGAAGTGTACTCACAGTTCGTATAAGTGAAAATTTTGAGTCTTTCGCTTTACCTTAGATTTAAAATATCAAACAAGGAATGTAAGGAAATCGTTCATTGATAATTAGATAGTATGAAGTTAAGGAACATCAATTGCATTCTCAGTTTATGCGTCAAAGTTTATACATAGTAATCACATAAACATGAGTATGGCTATTGAAATATAGTTCTTTACAGTGCTGTAGCAAATCGGTTCGCGTATCAGACCTGTGTAAGGTCGAAAGGCACTTGTTCACTGTGAGGACTAAGATCTGACTGGAACTTAGCAATTAAAAGTACTTTACCACGGTTCCACTACTTAGCAAATAGTATTCTGCTTATTTTATTTCAAAAAAGGATTTTCGACTATTATATAGATGATAAATGCGTTGGTTAATCATTTAGACCTATCATCTTCACGCCCCTGACAGAACAATGTCTACTTATTTTTTCCATATTCCCTAGTTTCAGAGTTTATGAATATATTTCACTTACATTTATAAGTGCGGCATCCTTGCCATGGTTCATGGTTGTAGATGAACCGCTTTGTGAAGAATATACAAGAGTAAAAGGATCATCAATTGATCTGTTTGAAAAATTTAGAACAGGAAATTCGAATAAGATTAGTGAAAAGTAAAAATAGGAATCTTACATGCAGTGATTTGAATTTGAAGACCACTTTATTTTAAAGTACAGTCGGGCACCAAAAAATCGACACTTCAGTGAAGTGATGAAGAAATGAATACTACTAGAATCAATGCATAAATGATCGAAAATGGTACTTAGTATGTGACACTTTTCAGTTAGAAATACAACGAGGGAAGATTTACAGGAAGGGTTTATCTTTATGCAAAGTGTAGTAGGAAATTATAGCTGGATGTTTATTGAATTCTATACTGTCGCATTTGATAACGTCTCTAACCAGTAGGTCTCACCATCACCTAAAACCAAAATCGGAAAGTCCTAGTCGGTCGACAGATTCCAATCTTGAAGTCACATGTCACAAAATGACTACCATTATGTTTTCGCTACTCGATCCCAGAATCAGCAAACAATATGTGATTTGGGACTCGTTACGATAACACGAATACAATAATGAATAGTTATAAATTATTTTGAAGAATGTAATCTTGATTATCGTTGTGAACATTGTACAGTTAAATACTATGGTACATATTTACGTTTAAGTTTTTTTTCCTTTCAAACGATGCGGAGTAAGCCATTCATTCAAGAGCGTTCAACTACTGAATTACTTTAAAACTAGATAGTGAAACAGTGGTCACTTGAAACAAGTAGTGTGTAATAAACGATCACAGACCAAAAAGATACCAGTTATAAAAGCAGTGAACACTAGATCTTGATATGTTTCAGATCAAGTCAATGCGCAATTCAAATCAACACAGTAAAAAAAAACGGTAAAATGTGGAGGTAAATTAAGACCTTTGACAATATAAACTAGGGTAAATGTCAGTCCAATCGCAATAAACATGATTCAAGTCCTTCAGCAGTTAGAGTTTATCTACCAAATTTTAAAAAAATGAGAAAAAGTTTATTTTCCTAAAAACGAGATACTCCACACACACGTTGAATACTTAGCCTGTGGGTACTTATTCACTTTTTATTAAATCTAATATAAGAAATTTCGGGGCTGTGACTAGTGCTATGTCAAGGAAACAGAATTAAGTTTATTTCCCTTTTGTATTGTAATGTATTTCAAGAAACAAAACAAAGTTGTATCTTGAAATTGTGTTCGGTACGAGCATACGGTAATTGTTAATGACAGGACAATTGGGATCCGCCTAATACGAAGGCAAACGAATGCGAACTCGAATAGACTGCATGCCTGTCACACGACAACACTTTGACGTTAGTTTAACATAAAGAAGACGGAGTTTTCAGTACAGCTTTATATTCCGGACGGAAGTCAGGAACTGAAATAGGACAAATATGTTTAAAGAGAAATATGTAATGACCTTGGGACATGTCACACAGTTAGCAGTTATCCACAGAAGACAATGGAAGATGGTCACGCAATGCCGTGGATTGGTTGAGGTTAGATATAACACGGTTGGATGCCGGCTCAATGGTCCGGATGTTAGGCGTTCTCACCCAAGGCCAAAGGACCTGGGTTCGAATCTCGCGAGCGGGATCGCGGATGCACACTGTTAAGGAGTCCCATGCTAGGATGAAACGGTCGTCTAGTGCTTCCAGGTTTCCAATGGTGGTCTAACATTAATCGTTTCATGGTCTCAATTAAAACACCAATCTCCACAACCCTATATTCATAAAAGTAAAAGCCAATTAGACGATAGTCAGGGTCATTGCGGAAATTCGAATTGGAAAAATGTCGCCATGTAATGAGAAAAACTAAAAGGCCTGAGCTCTTATCCTAGCACAAGCGCTATTGCATAGGTCTATTTAGCGACACTATTATAATCATAATGTATTTTATGAGAGTCGAGCAAAAAGGAAATGTTTCATTTTAACCAATAAATTAAATCTTTTTTCAAGACTAAAAATCTTAAAAATTTGTAATGAGAATAAAATGAAAGGGAATCTCCCCTTTTATATAAGTCAACTTGAAATTATGAAGAAATCTGTCAACAAATTTAGACGAAACTCATCAATTAAGTGAAACTGCATAAACTAAACAACAAGTAATTTAATTTTCGAAAAGGCAATCGAACACAAAAACATTAGTTACCGCTATTTAGTTAATCAAGAATTTAAGAGACTGTGCAAAGATTGATAAGATTCGGTTTCCTATATCCCTTAGAACAGTAATTGTGAGTTTTTGTTTGTTTACACCGTCCTCTAAGTAATAATCACCAAGTTTAATACCTGGTTCAATTTAGTTTAATTATTACAAAAATGTACTGTAACAAAGTCGGAAATAAGGAAAACAACTACTGACTCCATTCAACCTATGTGTATACTAATCAAAATATTCCCTTGATATGCATAAACATTTTATCTTCAAACACAAATTGTACTGAAATTCCGGACTGTGAAAAGAAAAACGCATAGAGACGCCGTAAATGATGTTACATACGAGTGACCTTCAAAGTATTTGTCTCAGAGAAATATAAGTCCATTCTTAAAGAAAAAAACAGGAACTCACAGAAAGTTAACATCCTAGACTTTCTAGCGAGACTATGAATAAAAACATTTCTCGTCTCATGGTGAAATGTGTATCAGCTGAAACTAAACCTTAAATTCATCCATTTGAGTAATACAACTACTCGAACCCCTATTCTATACTCACAGAACTAGTCTTTATTTCGATTGTAAGATATGCTCAAACGATATCTTATCCTTATGTAATTGTTAATTGGCTAAAGTTACCAATGAATAACTATATAGACAGGATTCACCAATAATCTAGTACAATTATTTCTATAAAGGATCATCATCATCAATGATAATAATCTAGTATAGTTATTTTTTTCTGTGAAAGATCATCACTGTAAACGATAATAATAAAGGAAAATATCAAATGAATAAATAAACACTTCATTATTAATGGTAATTAACGCTTTAAATCAATAATCATTGGATATGTATTCAGTATTGATGACGAACTATAAATATTTTTAATGATTTTCAAATTGCTCACATAAAGTAAACACAGTGTGTCTAAGATTACACTCAATTACATATAAATATATATTCTGATTTCAAGTCTGAAATTGATGCAAAGTATAATGTTTGTTTAAGAATTCCTAATTTATTGAGTGTAATTATATTTTTTAGAAATCAGTAAGATAATGCCAGTGACAAAATACTTAGAAGGTAAGTTTTAAAACATTTAAGCCTTAAATCTTTAATGTACTCCTCCTAATTAAGAACAATTAGTTTTAAGTATATTTCAGTTAACATCAGACAATCGAAGATAAAAAAAAGTACAACTAAAATCAATGTAAACTATCAACCTCCTAATTATTGATAAGAACTATTATTTCACCAAACTCACCAACTGTTGTAAATAAAAATAAAAATATATTTGTAATATCCCAATGAGTAGAAAATTAGATTTTTTAACGTTTCGTAACTTAGTGTAAGCCACTTCTTCAGAGAATAAATAACCAAATTAAAATTAGTCCAAGTTTAAATAGTACAACGGAACAATGCAAGAATAATATTGGATCGAATGGATAATGAAGGGAAGCGCGGGATACAATGGATATCTAGGATGCAGTTGGACGATCTAGACTTCGCAGATGATCTGGCCCTTCTATCCCAAACGCAAAAACAAATGCAGGAGAAGACGAACAGTGTGGCAGCAGCCTCAGCAGCAGTAGATTTCAACATACACAAAGGGAAAAGCAAGATTCTCCGATACAACACAGCATGCACCAATCCAATCACAATTGACGGAGAAGATTTGGAAGATGTAAAAACCTTTACGTATTTGGGCAGCATCATTGATGAACAGGGTGGATCTGATGCAGATGTGAAGACGCGGATCGGCAAAGCAAGAGCAGCATATTTACAACTGAGGAACATCTGGAACTCAAAGCAACGGTCAACCAACACCAAGGTTAGGATTTTCAATACAAATGTCAAGACAGTTCTACTGTATGGGGCAGAAACCTGGAGAACTACAAAAGCCATCATCCAGAAAATACAGGTGTTTATTAACAATTGTCTACGCAAAATACTTCGGATCCATTGGCCGGACACTACTAGTAACAACTTACTGTTGGAGAGAACAAACCAGATCCCAGTGGAGGAAGAAATCAGGAAGAAGCGCTGGAAGTGGATAGGACACACATTGAGGAAAGCACCCAACTGCGTCACAAGACAAGCCCTCACATGGAATCCTGAAGGCCAAAGAACACATTACGCCGGGAAATGGAAATAGACATGAGAAAAATGAACAAAAATTGGATGGAACTAGAAAAGAAGGCCCAGGACAGAGTGGGTTGGAGAATGCTGGTCGGCGGCCTATGCTCCATTAGGAGTAACAGGCGTAAGTAAGTAAGTAATCAAAAACAGGTCTGAACAAGTTGATGTCATGTCATTTCTGTCAAGGTAATTCATAAGTGATATGTATGTAAATTTGTGTGTATGCATGTATGCATTGTTTAAGAATGAAAACTTGTGTGACCTTTATGGCAAGAAAGGATAGAGTTTAAATTTGTAATATTATAGTGTGAAATTGTAAATACGATCAGACTGAATGGTTAGGATAGATGTTCCAAGTAAGATGTATGGTAAGGCCTTCTTTTCTATTGAGAGAAGTAGGATTAAGCATTATATGGAACGCCTCAGCTACCCTCCTTTCTTTGTAGTTGGAAAACCCTTTTGCAATATTTTGATATTTTTAAAATCGATTTGGTGGTTGTTGAAAATGGCATGAACTGCTATTGCCGATTTAATTTAAAGTTGGTTCAATTCTACAGGATTGTTAGGAGGTTTCTTTGTGTACCTAATATGTTCTTTGGCTCTAGTCACGATTTCGCGGGATGACTCTCCAATATAATAGGCATCACAATCAATACAACCTAATTTGTAGACGCAGTTCTGTGTGGACATGAACGGGATTTTGTCTTTCAGACGAACTAAAGTATTACGTAGTGTGTC